TAAGAAGAGCAACAAAATCGAAACCCTAAATCTCTCTCTAGCTCTCCCTGACGTTTCTCTATCTTTAACGGCGTCAAACGCCGTTAAAAGACCGAGAGTGACGACGACGACGACTTCTTTCTCTAACGATTTCACGGCGACGGCTCCGTCAATGTCTTACTCTTACTCTCACCCTTTCTCTCACAACATGAGTTGCTCAATGACTCGAAACTCCACAGATTTCGATTGCTCCGTCGAGAAAGACGACCGTATCTGGTGCGCCGGCGAAGGAACAAACGGATCTGTACACAGCAGATTCAGACCCATCGGAGACGGCGTTGCGTTATTAGCTAACAACAATCTAATCTCCGGTAAACCCACAAGCTCCTCCGATTACTCTTTCTTCCCTTCCGAGTTACCAGCTCGGCCGGGAATGGAAATCGCGAAATTATTACCCAATTCGGAAGATTCCGATGCGGTTAGATCGGAGAGGGTTTTATACGATATTGTATCGGAATCGATTTCTTCTGTTGCTTTGATTATTCAAGGGATGGCTGATGAAACCCTAGAATCTGCTAAAGAGTACTTGAGGAACTTGATCGATTCGCCGGAGAAGAAGGAGAAGCTGACGAATCTTCAGAGCCAGATTGAGAAAAGATCTGATCTTAGCAAAGAGACGTTATCGAAATGTGTCAAGGATCAGCTAGACATTCTAGTAGCTGTAAGAACAGGGCTTAAGTACTTCCTCTCTGGTAAAATCCGAATCCCTATGAACGAATTGGTGGAGATCTTTCTCTTCTTGAGATGTAGGAATGTGAATTGTAAGAGTCTTTTACCTGTTGATGACTGTGAATGCAAAATCTGTTCAAACAACAAAGGATTTTGTAGCTCGTGTATGTGTCCTGTTTGTCTGAGATTCGATTCAGCTAGCAATACTTGTAGTTGGGTTGGTTGTGATGTGTGTTCGCATTGGTGTCATGCTGCTTGTGGGATTCAGAAAAATCTCATCAAACCGGGACATAGCGTGAAAGGTCCTCGAGGTACGACTGAGATGTTGTTCCATTGCATTGGATGCGCTCATAAATCAGAGATGTTTGGATTCGTTAAGGATGTTTTCGTGTGTTGCGCGAAGAATTGGGGACTTGAGACTCTAATCAAGGAGCTCGATTGTGTTAGAAAGGTTTTCCAAGGAAGCGATGATGCTAAAGGCAAAGCATTGCATCTCAAAGCCAACGAAATGGTGAAGAAGTTAGAGAGTAAACAGATATCCCCGGTCGATGCCTCTAACTTCATTATTCAGTTCTTTAACTGTAAGTTCCCAATTTCTTCTTATACTCATGGTTTAGATCAAAGATTAGGAACCCGAAACCTTATGGATTCTGTAGTCTGATTCTTTCCCTTCTCTTATCACTTGCAGATGCAGAGTCGGTATCAGAATTTCCAGAACCAAAGGAGCTAACAGTTGCAGCAGAAACAAGCTACAGAAAAGACGAGGCATCTGTGACACCTTCAACATCCAAGGATCAAAAGAAGAAGAGCTTTGCCTTAACTGATGCAATGATGAACAGTTTTGATAGTTTAGAAAGCATGGTGAGAATCAAGGAGGCCGAAACAAGAATGTTCCAGAAGAAAGCAGACGAGGCAAGAATCGAAGCAGAGAGTTTCAAGAGGATGATAGAAATGAAGACGGAGAAGATGGAGGAGGAGTACACAGAGAAGCTATCGCGGCTGTGTCTCCAGGAGACAGAGGAGAGAAGAAGGAATAAGCTGGAGGAGCTTAAGAAGCTTGAGAACTCGCACTGCGATTACAGGAACATGAAGCTGAGAATGGAGGCTGAGATTGCAGGATTGTTGAAGAGGATGGAAGTTACAAGACAACAATTGGTATGAAGGAATCTGAATAAACAGAGCCTTTCAATTATCCATTTCTCTGCTTCTTCTTGTTGTTGTTTTTTGTGGGAAACTATTAAAATAGTGATAAGTGTTTTATTTGTTTCTCACTTTCTCTGGTATTGCCTTCTGAATTTCAAATTTATTTATCTATAACTTTGGTTTTTTTTCTC